GGTTCTGAAAATCAGGTTTTTTATTAGGTTGAGTGTTCCTTGGAATATAACCGAGACCAGCAGTCTCGTTTTCCTTCTTATTGTGCCGAGGGGGACCAGTTCCAGAATAAGGTCTAGACCTGGTTTTGTTCGTAGCACTATATGCTTGGTATTCCGGTCTATTTTTAAAATCTGTACACTCGGCAACAAGACGATGAAGATGATCAATCAAAGTACCAACGCTCGGAATTTTTGAGAGAAGTTTTTCATCATGATTAACTTGTTTGTTCATACTATCGAGCTTAAGAGAGCAAATGATTTGATCTTGTTCTAAAACCACTTCACTGTACTTAAGCCTTTCATCTATTAACTCTCCCACTTTTGTTTCAAGCCTTATCTTGGCTCTCGTGGCTTCCTCGAGTTTAGACTCAAGCTCAGTGATTTGTGATTTAAGATGATCATTTTCAGAAAGGTTTTGATTAAGCTCAATAGTCAATCTTTTGAAAATTTTCCGGGCTTTGGTTTTGGATAGAGAGTCAAACTTAGATAGAAAATTTTCAAAGTTTACCTCGAAGCTCTCTTGGTCGGATTCCTCGTCGGAGTGTGCCATAAGACATAGACCTGTATGGTTAGAGTTCTTATCACTCTCCTCTTCTTCGTCATCGGATGAGTCTCCCCATGCTGCCATCATTGCCCTTTTGAGATCTCTTTTGAACCCTTTGTCTTTGCTGGACCTCCGGTTAGAACTGGACTTGTTCTTGTCGTAGGTCCGGTCATTTTTCTTTTGTGAACAGTCTTTAGCCCTGTGCTCAAGGGAACCACAAACAAAACAGCCTTGGTTATTAAAAGATTGAAAGTTATTTTTACCTTGTTTGTTCCGGTTGTTCTTGAACCGTCGGTACATCTTCCCGAATTGTCTAGCAAATATGCTCATCTCATCTTCCGATTCACTTTCGGATTCTTCCTCCTCTTCTCGAGCTTTTAGAGCAATTCCTCTCTCTCGCCTTACAGTCTCAGCGTCTTGCTCTTCTTGAAGCCCTAACTCATATGTCAAGAGTGAACCGGTCAAGTCTTCAAGAGTCATGGTGGATAGGTCTTTTGCTTCCTCAATAGCCGTGGTCTTAGGCTTCCATACCGAGGGCAAGCTTCTCAAAATTTTTCTCACTTGATCTTCCACAGTAATTTCCTTTCCAAGGGCTGAAAGCTCATTGATGATATTAGTAAAACGTGTAATCATATCCTTAATTGACTCTCCAGGCTTCATTACGAATAATTCGTAATTACGCATAAATATGTCAATTTTAGATTTTTTTACACGTGAGGTACCTTCATGAGTAACCTCGAGCAAATCCCACATTTGTTTGGCAGACTTGCATCCTAGAACCCGGTTGTGTTCGGCAGGACCAAGTCCACAAATCAAATATTTTAGTGCTTGGGCATTATGCTCGAGTTTTTGATAATCATCAGTAGTAAATTCAGATTTAGGTTTAGGAACAACATTACCTTCGCCGTTTAGCTTTGTGATGACATTGTCGCCACCTTCTATCACATTCCATACCTGATAATTATCGGCTTTGATAAAGTTCTCCATCCGACTCTTCCAGAACTGATAGTATTTCCCATTGAACAATGGTGGTCGTTGAGTCGAGTAACCTTCTTCCAATCGGTCAACCGTATTCATTTTGCCGGATCTCTTCCCAAGGTATTAACCTCTATGTGGTGAAGACCGGCTCTGATACCAATTGATGAAAACGGTTAGCAACACAAGAGGGGGGGTGAATTGTGTGTGTGGAACCGTGGCAGTTTTTCGCCCAGTTCTAGTGCGGGGTGAAGGGTATTGCAAAATAGTAAAGTGCACAAGGATTTAACGAGGAAAAATCCCTTGGCTCAAAGGGATTAAAAAACCTCGACCTCCCTCGGAGGAATTTTAACAACTTCACTAAAAAGCCTTTGAATGATTACAAGGGAAACTCTCCTAGTCTACCCTTGAGCCACCCCAACTCTATCCTCTCTAGGAAGAGTTACGCTTCTCTACCTTGCGGGTAGAGAGCCTCTCAGCTTTACAACAAAGCTCTCACAACACACGTTACCCAACCCGAGGAAGCTACACTTAGCTAATCCTCAATAACCCAATTACAATATAGGAAGAGAATAAGAACTCTGTCTAGAACTCCGGGAGCAGTTTCAGGTGCCTTGAACTTTGTATTTCTCTCGAGTATCTCTCTTGATATTTTCTCGGTCAAGCACACCCTGCTTCTTCTTCTTGATCTCGATTATATAGTCTACTAGGAATGGATCCGTTGAGACACTTCTTTCCTTGAATGGTTGAGGAACTTGCCTTGAAATTATTCAAAATGCTTTCCTTTTATTTAAGGATCTTCTAGCTCTTAATTATGATGGTCCTTGGTCAACCATATATATGGGAGCAGGAGGATACGTGCATACCATGAGCAAGTCAAAAAGGTATAGAGCATATTATGTGATCAACCATTTAGTAATAATTCCACAAAGATATATATCAATGCATATCAAGGGAAGTTATTTATTCACTTAAACTATGCAAGCATGCAACGGATCATATTTCAAATAATATGCAGGAGAATATTTGTTAAATAGGTATGCACAATCAACTAGCTAATCAATTAAGGATTCTTTCCATAAAATAATAAGCTATAATAATAAATCATGCATGAAAATATATTTTTGCTTAAAATAATATTCTTGACAAAGTATAAGCACTCATATAAGGAAAGCACATATTAATTAAATCATACACCATGTAAATCAACCGTTCACACAGAATACAATTAAGAATAATTTTGTCTTCCGTTCCGTATGGAACTGAGAGCGGTTCCTTCCGCTGTTCCACCTGCATAGTTAGTCATTAATAAAACTACATACTCAACAGATTCTTTCCTTTGAGATCGGTCTTCTTAGATGGGCAAGATCAGGACTTGATGTACTATCTTTAATAGCTCGGATCTCCATATATATTTCGGTCCTCTTGCATGGAAATCATTCAAAAATATTTCCTTATAGGTATTAAAAGATATTCTTTTTATTTGATTGAAGGAAATCATTTTTCTTAAGGAAACATTCCTTGTGAGAAGATATGCACGAAAATCCTTTTTGAATTTTGAATAACAACAATTATTTTGGAAACTTGCTTTGTAGAAATATCTCTTAATTAATGCCTTTGATTTAAATAACTTTCCTTTAAAGAACAAATCCTTTCTTTGTATGATCATTGATTATTTTCTTGCTTAAAAGGTTCTCTTTAATTTAGCAAGATAGATCCGAAATTAAATGGAGAGAAAAGATATTTTAAGCAAGCCGGATTAATCAATCTTGGATTTACGGTGCAGTTCTCGGACCAGTTCTACGGCTTGTTCCAGAGCACGACTTAAACTCTTTTCATGTAGTCACTTACAACCAAAAGTAACACTAGTCGTTTGTCATCAACAAAACAATACGTTCCAACAAATTGCATGTAGAATAAATTAAGAGAGATCTAATTTGTTCTAGGACACATTCACACACACTTAATCGTTCGCTAAGAGATTAGTAGCGATTAAGGGGCCGTAAGCTCGCTCGTCTTGGCAATAATTTAGGATCCTGTCGCATGAGAGATCAGCCTGGTCCCCTAAATTATTGTACTCTACGCCGCAAGAGCGGTAAGAACTTAGTAATGATTAGCTAGGCTCAATTAAATTAATTTCATGTAATTAGGCCTGATCTGCCAGAAATCTGGTTACCCCGGAATCGATCCCTGTTCCCTTCGTCATTAATTAGAAAGAACCCCCTAGGTTAATTGTTCGCATTAGTTTTATTTTCCAAACCAACCAATCTCGCACGACGCTTTTATTTTATTTTCTTTTTAATCGCTGAATTTAATTAATTCTTGATTCCCTTTTGTCCGTCCCTGTGGAGACGATACTCGTACTTACACCACTATATTACGATCTATTTTAAGTGCGAGAAAACTCACATCACCATTATTAGTCAGCAGTTACCTTTTGTAATCGCCTATAAAAGGCAATTCAGATTTCAAATACAAACATGCTATTTCTTGCTCTCAAACTCTCTAGCTACTTTCCATATTCGTATTGCTTTCTACTTTCCTGCTTGAGTGTTCTTTCGTAGCTTTCCTAAAAGGCTACGAGCATCCTATTTTGGACCAACAAGTTATTCAATTGCAAACTTGGAAATAATATATGGGTATAACAAACACACAATATGTGAAATGATTATTTTAATAGGAGAAGATACACACAAACCATGAACAAATAACTAGAAAATATTATGAATTAGATAGTTGTTAAAGCACTATTAGTACACATCCAATACAGAACAACATAAACTTAATTAATAAGAACTATATCAACAACATAAACTTAATTAATAAGAATTATATCAATTTAAGTAACAGCAATGCTAGCTTCTTCATCTTCTTCATCTTCATCATCTTCATCATGCATAACTTCTTGTTCCATCATTGGAGTGACATCAACTCCATTATCATCATCAACTCCAACTTTGTGCAGGTTTGGTACATCAAATATTGCATCATTTGACGTATGTATACTATGATCAACATTATTTCCCATTTGAAACATATCCCTAACTTTGACATGCCTAACAACCAACCAATCCTTAGACTTGCAATCTCTAGCATAGAAGACTTTCTCAACTTGTGAGGCTAGAACAAAGAGGTCATCAAGCACATTTGTTCATGTGTGTGCCAAATACGAAAAGTTAACCAGCGTTGTACCCATATCATCTCGCTTCACACCTCTATTCACATCAACCCAATCACATCTGAACAAAATCACTCGTAGTTTACCAGAATAGTTCAAATCAATTATGTCTTTCAATGAGCCATAATAGTTGATCATACCAAGAACTGGTTGTTTATCACGGGAGCTAGCATAACATTCACTCTTTACCGTTACAACAACGCCACTATTTTGTGATTTCAAGAATTTCTCATGATCCATTGTATGGAATCGATACCCTTTAACAAAATAACCACAATATGTCTTTGCAGAGGTGTGGGGGCCAAGAGCAAGCCATTTAATTTCCTCACTCACTCTTGCATCACCTTCTTCTACTAAACGAGAAACCTACATCAATAATGCAGAGTGTCATAACATAGAATATATTATTAAAATAATGTATCACATAATAACATAATATACTAAAAATTACCCTTTTTGGAATCATTCATTAAATTCTTGGCAATGAAGTCTTTCAATCTCATATTCGGGTCGTCGCCGTGAACTATTTCAATTCTTAACGATTGATTTATGTTCCCTTAAATAAATCAGTATTATTGATAAACATGTCAGGGAATAGTTCAACACTAGGAAAAAGAATTATATAAATAAAAATGTTCACTTACTCTCTAAATGGCATGACTAACTCGACATTAAATAAGACATAACGATGTGCTTGTATCAGCAACTTCTTGTAAAGCACACAACGAGATACTCTCTTTCTCTTTCGAAAAGAGACATTACAATCTCTGCTTTTTCTTAATGGACGCCCAGGACAAAGTGAGTTTAACTCTTCAATTTCATTATGCTCACCCTCATCGTCATTTCTCACAGGTCGAGTAAACAATGTCTCAACAACGGAGAGATAGCGAGAGACAAATGTTAAACTTTCCATAGCTAAATAACCTTCAGTGATTGAACCTTCTGGATAAGCTCTATTATGAACATATGACTTCAGTGTGAGAAGTTCCCTGAAAAATTATTGATACAGTAAGATGCCAATTTATCTAAGAACAAATATAATTAATATTTAAGATAAATGAAATTGGTTTTAAAATCACTTACCTTTCAACAGAATGCATCCACCTAAAAGTTACTGGACCTCCCATCCTCAATTCTTCAACCAAATGAACCACTAAGTGCACCATAACAGTAAAGAAAGAAGGACATAGTTCAATTGTGCATAAGGTTAGTGTAACCTTCTTTTCAAGAAACTGGATGTCATGTTTAGACAAGTTCTTACAACAAATTGCCTTAAAAAAATCACACAGTTCAATGATAATTGATGAAACATTGTCTGGCAATGTCCCCCTTGAGGCAATAGGTAGATATTCTTGCATCAACATGTGACAATCATAACTTCTTAGCCCTAAAAGTTTTTTATCCTTCAATTGCACACAACAAGAGTTTTCAAGAAAGCCTCCTTTTCTGATCAAGTCATTTGGTAGCATGCTCGAGCAAGCACGTTATATTGCTCACTTGACGCTTTTTCGGGTGAAGTTCTTTTTTTATACCCATTTTTTGTAAGTCTAATCTTGATTTGTAATTGTCTTTAGACTTTTTACCCTGTCCCAACAAAGTTCCAAAAATGTTCTCGCACACATTTTTTCTATGTACATGACATCAAGGTTATGGGTTATGACGCAACAATAAATGTTTCTGGTAAGGCAACATAAAGAAAATGCTTTTTTTTCATGGACCATTATTGACATTATAACTCACAAACTCAAGCTCGTCTAAGTGTTGAAAAGCTGAATGCCCAGAAATAGGTGTAGGTGTGACCTGTAGCTCTTGCTCTCCATTAAAAGCTTGAGTCTCAAACCGCCACCTATGGTTAGATGGAAGTCATCTCCTATGACACATATAACAAAACTTTCTTCCAAATTGAAGCCATTTTGAAGCAGTACCAAATCCACATATAGGACATGCAAATTCTCCCTTGGTACTCCATCCTGAAAGGTTTGCATATCCAGGAAAGTCAGGAATTGTGTAAAGTAATGCTGCTTTCAGCCGAAACTTATCTTTAGTAGTCACATCAAGTCTCAATTCCATCCTCCCACAACTCTTTTAACTCTTTCAACAATGGCTGCATATATACATCAATCTTATTCCCAGGGCCTTTTGCTCCAGGAATAATTAAAGAAAGAATGAAATTGGGTTGTTTCATGACCAGCCACGGAGGTAAGTTACAAGAAATTAAAAAAAAACTGGCCAAATACTATATTTAAGATTCATTGTCTTGAAAGGGTTAAATCCATCACTTGAAAGTGCTAACCGAATGTTGCGTGGATCATTGGAAAACTCAGGATAATTCTTGTTAAAATCCTTCCATGCTGCACCATCAGCCGAATGTCTCTATTTTTCATCATTTATGCGTTTACTATGATGCCAATTTGTAAGGTTAGACGTCTTTGAAGACATAAACAATCTTTAAAGCCTTGGTTTCAAAGGAAACCAACGCAAAATCTTTGCTGCCTTCTTATTTTGGGCGTTTACTATCTCACCAGTATTATCTGTAGAAGCAAGCCATCTTGATTGTCCACAAATTGAACATTCATTTTCTTTCTCAGTATCATCCCAGAACAACATACAATCATTTGGGCATGCGTGGATCTTTTCGTAGCCTAAACCTAGGTCTCCAAGTAGCTTTTTAACTTGATACGTTGTTTTGGGCATCAAATTTTGATCTGGCAACAAATCTTGTAAGAACTCCAGTAACATAGTGAATGACTTGTTGCTCCAACCATTCAAGCACTTTAAATGGAACAAGTGTACCAAACAAGAAAGCTTGCTATACTTTGAATTTGGATATACCTTCCTTTCAGATTCCTTTAAGAGGTCAAAAAACTTGTCAGCTCTAGTTTCATAGCTCTCTGGATCACTGAAGTTACCCAAACCCGTACTCCCTTCACACTCCTCCATATTAGGTGTACCTACTTCTTCATGGGCCACTGAAAATAAATCATTTAATAGTCCTTGTGTGTCAAGTCTAAAAGTCTCCGCTACATTATTAGGCGCAGACCTTGAAAATGATGATGTTTGATGTTCTCCATGATCTATCCATTTTGTGTATTCTTTTCAGAATCCATTACATATTAGATGATCAAATACTTCCCCTCGAGTATGATAAAATTTGACTTGATCTCTCAAAAGCAAATTTGATAAAGCTCTCCACTCCATTTATGAACTGTTCACTTGATCTTGGAGCAGAATACATCCAAGATCTATCCACCATGATTCTAAAGGTAGACTTAAACTAAAAAGTAAAGAACCATTAAGTAAACATCTAAGTATATAGTGACATAACGTTATACTAAGTATGTGAAATTTAAGGATATGGGAACAGGTGAATATTCGCATAAGAATGATTACCTTCGATATTAGGTTGTAATAAGCATATAAAAGAGAGTGTGACTGAAAAGAAGATATAATACATCTTGCAAAAGAAAAGATCGAGCTTGGAAGACAAGGTCAGGAGTTCAGGACGGACACTAGAGAAGAGATTAGAAAAAAATGTCATATGCGTTTGGTGAGAAAATGTAAGGCATTACAAAAAAACACGGACGTAGTCACGGATTTAGTCACGGACCCTAGAATAAACAATCCGTGACTAACTCTGCTAGTCACGGATTTTTTCCGTGACTAAATCCGTGACTGTTCGAGGCGTGACTATTCTAGTCACAGCCAATTTTCCGTGACTAAGCGTAGTCACGGACCCGATCTTCGGGCTACGGCTTGAGCGCCGTCGATGGGCTCTCCTTCCTCTACTTTCACCTTCTTCGAATATCTCGCCATTGCTTCCTCTGCTTATGCTTTCTCGACTCAATAACCGTCACTTCCTAGTGTACATTTATTATAGCCATCTCGTAATATATTATGAATCGGGGAGACTATGATCACGCGGTAGCATTCCTCCTACTTACTGCAAAACTCTGGACATGCAAGTTTCAGGGAGATTGTATCCATGGCCAGTCCTAGAGGGAGGCCAGCAGGGGCGACCGCCTTAGGCCCGAAAAAAGTAGGAAAAAAAAAATTAGGCCTAATTTTTTTTCTTTATATGTAATATAAGTATGCTTCTTTTTTTATTTATAATTTCAATTAATTAATTAGGCCTAATGTTTAATTTTTGTTGACAATTTGAGAATTTTAAAACCTAAGTAAAAAGTCTTGAACAAAGCTAGACAAGTTTTTAAAAAGAATATAAATTTAGTTTTGATTTTTAAATAGAGTTGGTTGTAAGTCAACACATTTGTTGTTGAATCAATAAAAGCACGTCTCTTCACATCTTTTTAGCCTTTAAGATTTTTTACTCTTTTAATTACAAAATTACCAATTTATATTACTGTGTTTGGGATGCCGGTGCCTCACAATTCTCAAACATCATCCCAATTATCTATTATGCCTCAAAAAACTTAATGGATTGACAATTTTAAACATTGCACGTGTGATCTTGGAAAAGATTGATTATACAGCAATTATTTATGATTTTACTTCACAATGTTCTTTTGTGATACATGTGTTACGTTGTTACTTTTGTCCAAATATGCAATTCAAATAATATGAAGGTGAATTTCATCTTTATTTTATAACCTTTACGGAGTATTAGATAGTTGTAGGGAGAATTCCCGAAATAGGAGTAATCGTTTTTTAGAATTTCAAAATAGGACTGTCGTGTGTTTATTTTCTGAATAGGAGTAATTACTGTCATGTTCGAAAAATACTACCATGTGTAAAAAAATACCGATACTGCCAAAATATGACATTTATTACTTCCATTTAGAGAATAAAACATGATAATCTTAGTTAGGAATATACAAACGTTTTTAGTCGTATTTAGAGTAATTTATCCTAGTTTTATTATACTCCGTAATTTTTACTTTAAGTAAGTATAATTTACTGTTTGTCTAGGAAGTAAGGTCAAAATAGTATATCGCCCATAGGCCCAAAACAGGACAGGACCGACCCTGATTGTATCCAACTTTTATGTTCATAAACTCTGTAACGGCGGATAGCTGAGAGTATCTCTCACAATCAGCATACAGAGGCTGATCGGCAGCTTTTAAAACATCTTGAAATCTCTCAGCTAAACCTTCATCCACATATGCCTCGAGGAAAATTGATTGCATTCTGTACAATACCACAATTTTATCATACATCCAACTTCTATTTTGCCTATACATTATGCCTGAATATTATGATAATAAAAAAATATATTGGTTAAAAACTTTAAATCATAAACATTATCAACAATTTGTTATGTTAAATATTTTCACTAATTCATACGTAGGAGCATTAATATATTCAATTTTACTAAAGTTCAATGCACTACAATTACGTAACGTTCAATTAATATTATTAAATAACTATATCTACTAATACGTTAATGACATTAATCATTTAAATTATTAACTAATAATCAATACATTAACACTAAATAATCAATATTAATTGTTAATGGCAATAATAATTTGATATGTTTAGGAACATTTATTTATTAAATTTCACTAAATTTCCCTAAAATTAACTAACTTCCAATGAATTTATGTGGAGTATTATTAATATATTCAATTTCACTAAAGTTCAATGCAATTGAATATTATTAATCACAATAATGTTCAATTAATATTATTAATTAACTAGAACTAGTTAATACGTTAATATACTGTCATTAATCATTTCAATTATTAACAAATAACCAATATTATGATTTCAACACTAAATACACTAAATTATTACGTTAATGACATTTAATCCACAATACTAAAATTATCAACATATTATTAGTAATACACAATTAACAATTCACTAAATTAAATAATATGACCAAATCCAATAATTTGAGCATATATAAACTCATTTGAATTAATAAATAATACACAATTCACAATAACAATGCACAAAATATAAGTAATGTTTTAATCCAAACTAAATTTAACTAATTCATTTCGTTAATTAATTAACAACCTTTTTTGACTTGCGTTACGTTTAGCTAACTAATTTGACTTAACACATCACTACGTTTAAACATACGTTTAAACCTGCGTTACGTTTAGCTAACTAATTTGACATAACACATCACTACGTTTAAACCTACATTTAGCTAACTAATTTGACTTAACACATCCCTACGTTTAAAAATAAAAATAATAATTCAAATAATATACTTTATCTGCATAAATAGGGAAAATGACATAAGATAGACTACATCCTTCGATTTTTCAAACAGATACTGTATTATATACTAGGAATGAATTGGTGTGGTTCTGTTGAATGAGTTGCTCTTGCATATATAAAAAATCTAGTCACGGACTTAGTCACGGATTTGTCCGTCACTAAGCAAATTCGTGTACATTACGCGTCCAAACCGTGTAAATGACGTGTAAATTAAATATTATTCGATTTAGTCACGAAATTAGTCAAGGAACAATAATTGCTAATAATTCACAATAACAATTCACAAAATATAAGTAATGTTTTCATCAAAACTTAACCCATCACAAATCCTAATTTAGGCATTAACATTAAATGCTAATAATAAAATCTAATAATTTGAGCATATATATATATATTATATATATATATATATATATATATATATATATAGAGAGAGAGAGAGAGAGAGAGAGAGAGAGAGAGAGAGAATAGAGATCAAATACAAACCCTTCTTAATTTACAAAGTACAAACTCATATTGACCATCCGATGAGTTGATCCAAAGGACATAAAGGCAAGGTGGTATTTTGTAATAAAACCCAACTTTTTTAGGGTGCAACTCGTTGAACGTTAATGTGCAACTGCTATTTTATGGCTGAATAATATGCACTACTTTGAACCTCAATATGCAATACAAAGAACGTTAAGGTGCATCGTACAAATGTTTGCACAATAAGCACAATTTGTACTTGATCTTTCCCCTATATATATATATATATATATATATATATATATATATATATATATATATATATATATATATATATATATATATATATACCCATTTGAATTAACTAATACTTAAATTTAACTAATATTATTAAAAAATTAAGTAATTTAACTTTACATTTAAATTAATCCTACGTTTAACTAATTTTAACTAATTCATTTCGTTAATTAATCACCAACCTTTTTTTTACACATTACAATTAACTAGTATTTAAATTTAACTAATATTATCAAAAGCTACACTAACTTAACTAAATAATTTAACTTAATTATTTAAAACCTACGTTTAGCTAACTAATTTTACTTAATTTAACTTAATGCATCACTACGTTTAAAACTACGCTTAGCTAACCAATTTTAATTGAATTATTTTATGAACCTAAAAATTTAACTAATTTTATGACATCACTACGTTTATAGTTAAATATACTGTTAATTAATTAACAATCTCACTAATTTAAATTGAATCAACTAATTCTAAATAAAAAGAATTCAAATAACATACCTTAATTATCTGCATAAACAGGGAAAATGGCATAAGATGGACTACATCCTTCGATCTTTGAAACAGATACTAGTCACGGATTTTTCCGTGACTAAATTATATTTGCCGTTGCGAAATAAATTTTGAGCACTGGAAATTTAATTTTTTTTAAGTCACGGACGTAGTCACGGATACGTCTGTGACTAAGTCGCCGGAATAAAAACGGACCTACCGGCGACGGAGTTGGGGCTACCGGAGGACTTTAGTCACGGTCCGTAGTCACGGATTTATGTAGTCACGGACTTAGTCACGGCCAAATCCGTGACTAATTTTTTTTTCAAAAATCCGTGACTAGTCCGTGACTAGCCCGTGACTACGCTAGTCACGGACGAAATCCGTGACTAACGTCCGTGACTACAGGCGTGTTTTTTTGTAGTGAAGGGTCCTAAGGGAGTTACTTAAATACCCTTAGCATGAGCGAAAATTTTAATGAAACACTTAGTTCATTTTGTAATTAGTATATATATATATATACAAAGACAAAATATGATATGTACACAAAAAGTGTAGAAACGTGGGTCACGATATCGGATTTCGCAACGTAACCCGACCTGCATTGTTGGGGTTCTCATGTTGGTAAAAAAGAATATAGGAATTAGCAATGTAAGGTATGGAATTAGTTGAAAAAAATACAGATAATAATTGTAATAAGCCTAGAAAAAAATTAAAATAGACAAGACAGGTTCATATAACTCCTTTCACATTAGTTATAGACACAAAAACTGTATCTGAAAAATCATCATCAACTGAAAAGCTACACAAAGCTTTAGGTTGAAACAACAAGCTTTAATAAGGTTCAAATAATAGAGTAGGAAATATCATGTTTTAACATTATACTTCAACAAACTGCAAGTCTCCAAAAGGGAAATGTTCAATTAGGAAACTCACATGTCAACTTAATTCAGAACCATCTAGTTGGTTTCAAAATTGACAGATCAAGCTTGATCACTTAGTTGAGTAGAGTATATAATATAGAAATCAATCTGTTCTATACAATGGTATAGACAGAAAACCTAAATATGATGTGATTTTGTTAATTAGGTTTATAAGACTAAGAACTGAGGCATAAAAGAATTTGTCTTAACTCATGATCTCC